CCAGAGGGGAATTCATTATTTCAGAATAGGACAGGAATGCAAGCAAAACTCCGAGTTTTGCTGAAAATGGAATAATACTAATAACAATACATAGTGCTTTGTGGCCTCAAAGAGTCACATCTCTCTGATTTTAGAGAATGAATGCAACTGTGCATTTTGTTTAAATCAAATAATAATCCAATTTGAAGTAAAGAGTTTGAATTTAGCAATGAGGATGTGACAAAAGCTATACATCCCTTTATCGGAGAATCATATGCTGTTCTTCCAGACATAGCATAGGCCTTTGCCTTCTAATGTTGCTACTGCCCACAAGACAGCATTCACCTAGACCAACTGCTCCCTGGCTTTTTTTCCCTGCAGATTAGCAAATAGCAATCAGCCATGTCAACATTTGGAGCCTACGAGATCCACAGGCCATTTACAGTGAGCTCCCAGACCCCCCTGCAGGCCCTCAGACCTTAGTTTGGGAACCACCAACTCAAAAAGCCCCAGCTGATGCCAGATGCCTCCCTGTCCTAGGTGCTCTGCAGCCATGTCAAAAGAAGGAGTGCTAGCTTTATTGTTCAAAGAGGTGAGATGTGTAAAGGGTATGAGGAAAAACAGAAGGAAAGTAAGTGATCCGCTTAATGCCAAGCAGTGGACAGAATGGAAAGCCAGGAACAGAGCACAGGCTTCTTGGGAACAAGCTCAATGCTCTCCACAGAGCTACAGCCCTTAAATTGAGGCTATAGTCACAGAAGGGGTCATAAAAAAGCATTCACTGGAACGCAGCTACTTCAAGCTTCCACAGAAATTGATGTTTGGGGTAAGAGGTCCCCACAATTTCCAGCACTACAAAAAAATACACCCAAGAACTATAAGCCAAGTTCCTAACTTCTAACTAAGGTCATCACTATTAATAAAAATGTTGTTGGCTCATTTTTTCCCCCTTCTGCTGAACTGGACACCTATAAGTCTGTAAGGAATTGCTCTCTAGGTTTGGGGGGGGGGTATTTTATGTTTTTTTATTGCTATTGTCATAATGATGTGGAAGGAGAAAAATTGAGCTGTGTACTAAATTCCTGTTACTTAGCTTTGCTAGGATGAAGATCACAGCAAATTTGGCCAGTGTTGTAAGAACATGGCTCTTGATTCTGAGAGAATAGTCAAACAATGAAGTAAAAAGCCCTACTGTTTTCTTACTACAATGCTGCAAATAAACAAGTTAATTTTCAGACTCATATAACTTGGTGGTGTTACAACTGACCATTTTTGAGAAATCAAACAAAAGTTTTTAGTCTCTTCCGGTGCACCCTAATTTATCTTCAGTAAGGCTTTGTGTTCATCTTTGCTTGGAGCAGAGTTGCACAATGCTACCAACCTTCACTAGGACTTTGGGCTGCAGTCCTCCCGTGTTTAAGAGTATCTGCCTAGCATATGCGGACCCTGCAGTTGGCTCCCTCCAGAGCAATGACAGCTTTAACCATTTCACAAGCTCTGTGACACACAGTGTTTAAAAAAAAAAATCCTATTAAAAACAATAGAACAAAATAAACAGGCATCAGTCACGTGCTTAACTCTCCCACAGAGAAAATCTGAGAGGACAATCTGCATTCTCTTTCTCTCAGGACATCTGCCTCTATCTGCATCTCAGGTCAGCCTGTTCGCAGGCAATGCCTGGTAATACATACCCTGCAATAGGAATCAAGGCAATTCTTAATATTGAGTAGTCCTTTGTGCTGGTAACTTGGGCTTCTGACCAAACTGAGTTTGTAACAAGAAATAAGGTTTTCAAAAATAATACCCATCCCACAGCACCTCTCTGGGAAGCTATTGTGCTGCTTTCCTCCTGCCCTTCCCCACAAATGGCCAAGGCACTGACATGGGAAAATCACATACCATATTCATTAGACTATTATCAGTTGGGGTTTTTATCATCATTATTCCTGAGAGAAACACAGGAGCTCCATTCTGTCATATCCATAAAAACCTCATTCAAGAAGACAGTATGGGGGTTTTGCTGGCAAAAAGCTTCAGGCTGGCAAAAAGGCCCTATTAGCTGCAAGAAGAGCTGCTGAGCTGCCCCTTATTCCTTGCAAGGTTCCCATTAGCTGTGAAAACATGTGCCAGGGATTGGTTCTTATTCCTTCCTAACCTCTTCAGATACCCTCCTACCTCCCTGTGGCTATTAGTAGTGATGTCCATTCCCATACCTGCCCCCAGGTGGGCTTTCACTTATTCCTATACTGTCCTTGTAACACTTACTTTCTTCATTTCTTCTGTTGTACCCTCCTATGACAACACTTACCAATAGTTCCTAATTTCCATGCTTCTCACCTCCACTCTTACCATTATCACCACCACCACTTCCTAGCCCCCACTGGTCTGTGGCACTGTCATCTCTGTTGCTTACAGATCCCTTTCTGCTCTTTCCTCATTTATTTCAGCAGGGTAGAGCAGGGCACTGGGACAACAGAAAGCCAGAGATCTGGGAAGACTCTGCCATCTTTTATGCCCTATATACTCAGCATCATCAAAAGACACAGGCCAAGCCATCAAGTAGCGTCTACCACCATCTGCGTCCACAGCACAAGGGTTGCCATGGTCCCAGAGCATCATAGCAATGTCATTTCTTCAACTTTGTAACAAAGGTAGTGACTTGGAATTTTTTTTCTAATATATTTTATAAAATATAACAAATATTAGCTAATTTATAGCTTTTTTTCCTTATTCAAAATGGATGTCAATATGTCAATACCACAAGAGCTGAAGAGTTGCTTCAAATTATTCACAAGAGGAAATAAAATTGGCTCTCACTCTACTGCAATCCTATGGCCAGCAACATGGCTGCTATTTTAGAGTTCAGGAGCAAACGTAGGATATAGGTGGGACACAGAAACTGTTGGGAACAACCCTGACCCTGCAAAATCATAGAGTGCAGGGATATCAGGACACTGGGGAACAGGAGGCCTTTTTAATGGGGATGTGGGAATCAATTGCGGTGGGAGGTGGAAACAATAAGCAGCCAGCACAACAGCTGCAAGTTAGAAAGTGTATGAGGCTTGAGTGTATCCTGAGAGCATCCACCCCTTAAAAAAACCCCAAAATTAAAAAACAAGGCAAAACATGCGTTTTACTACATCTTGGGGTTTTTGAAGGTCTGAGTTACAATCTCTGGGCACAGAAAATTAGTAGTCCTACAGTCATGTACTATGCATACCATCCTCTCTAGATCAGGTATCCACATGTTAAAAGGTATCATGAAAATAGGATTGGTTTTAGTTAACAGATTCCTTTGTGATCAAGGGAGTAGTAGGTCAGCATCAACCTGACTTTCCCCACTGTCATTTGTTGGAGCTCAGCCAACACAGAACTCCCTTAGCAATTCACCTCGAACACAGCAAAGAAAACTGAAAGACAAAAAGCCATGGACTATTGTATGATCTCGGGGTGGGGGAGGGGAATAAAGGCACACAAACTGCAATGAGATTTGTTAAGATTCCCAAGAGAGATTCTTCAGCTCATGGTTTTAGAAAATTGAAACAAAGAATGCACATTCAGTCCATGGACAAAACCCAGGCACAAGAGAAATATCCAGAGTCACAAAACATAACATTTTGGAGACACATGCATTTTCCATTTCAGACATCAGCATTAGAAAGTACTGGGCAGAAACCTCAACAGCAGGGTAGAACATGGAAATGTGCTTTCATTTCCCCTGGAAGCGTACCTCTAATTCTGGAGATAAGGACTAGCTCTTTCATCCCTGCTGTGATCTTGGCTTTGCAAAACTCTTCTGCTGCTTGCAGCAATTGAACTAGTTTCCAAAAAAATGCATGGTCTCTCTCTTTCTTACAGTTGATGTATTGGTATGGTTGACTAATTGATGAATCCAGCATTCAACACCAGACCTGGTCCCAGAAGAGGTGCCTAGCCTCTCTACTTGGGCATGAGAAGTTTCCCTTACTGAGCTGCCCTTTGCTCATAGTTGTGTACATTAAGAATGAGTCCAGCTGGGGACCTCAGCATGCTTATTAGTAGCTAATAAGATTGGATTTACTGTTTTCAACCCTTGCATGGTGGAAAGGCTGGTGGTGCTACACTTTAATTCCCATTATAATGGAGAGAAAGCAAAATTTCCTAGGCAGGGTATGAAATGGAGAAGGTTCACCAGAACATTAATCGTCTGTAGTCACCCTTAATTCCCTTAAGGTAGCCTGTATCAATTCTACTAACCATGCAAGACCTTGAGACTCGGTCCCTGAAACTGTTCTTAGCCACTTTGCTGCTTTCTGTCACTCTGCTGAAAGCCCTTTGGGATACCCAGTCCAGGCCATCTCCTCTGAGCTATGTTTCAATATCCCTGGTCACCTCACAGAGTCAGGCTTTGAGGTGGGAGTATGACTTAGGGTTTAGAACAGAGATGTTCACTCTTTACCATCTCTTTTATTTCCCCTGTAGGCAGTTACCTATTCATTTCAATAGAAAGCTTTTTTCCTAATGGGTGAAATGAGGAAGTCACTTCAACAGTACCTGGTATAGTAAATAATGAAGCAGAAAACCTCTCCAACTTCCATTTTTCTTCATCATGTCTGTGTTTTGTGCCTTTCAGCTTTAAAACCAGCTTGTGGGAATGCTTCTGGACATCTGTCATACATCTGGACATCTATCATTATGTATATCATACACATAAAATTACATTCAAATATTACTGCGGACATTGCATAGTCAACTACTCCATCTTTAGGAAGTGGCAGATCACAGACTTTCCTGTTTGATGTTTATACAGGTCCTCTGAGCCACACGGCTATATAACATAAGTCTCCTGCTTCATCCAGAGCCCATGACGGATTGCTGAACTAGAGAACGGCTATTTGGTTTTACCATTATTATTCAGTTTGTGGTATTAAAAGCACACCTTTGCCCCTGCTGATCTAAGCACAGAATTATGAATCCTAACAGGCTTTTCTACAGTACTCATCACTCCTTTGTGGGAGTCCTCCAGCACGTCATGAACTTACCTAAAATACTTACAACATGTATGTTCATGTCTCAGTTCCACAGCTGAGAAATAGGGAGGTGTTGAAAATGTACAAGTTATCACAGAGATCCAGAATTGTGAGTACTGGATACAAAGCACAGACCCCTTTCAATTCAATTGCTTCTTTAAGTGTGCTTTCTGTGCATTTGAGGGCTTTCTGCAGATCAGCCCTCAAAGGTACCTTTGTCAGAGGCAAGGACAGAATCTTAGTTTTCGAGACAGATTCAGCTGTGTAGTCATGACACCAAATCTTTGTCTTCCTCATGTTCCTGTCAGTTGCTGCAACAAACCCTTTCCCATCATGTAATAAATGAGGTTGATAGCCCACAGTAAAATAATTTGTATCATGTATTTAAATGATAGCATTACAATCAGGAGTCAAAGTTGCACAAATAAATTTTGACATCTCATAACTTTTGACTTGGCAAACATATTAATGTTTTATGAGCACAGTTTTCGGTTTATAAGTTTCCTAGAAAATGAGCAAACCAAAAATGCCAAAGCTTCCTTATGTGGCATCATACCAGCACTTATAAGAGCACTTAATTCAGATGCCCCACAAGTTACTCTCACTTGAGCTACCCAAGGGAGAGAGCAGCAGTAAGGAATCACCTCCTGCTAGTGCTACAGGAGGGTGAGAATGCGAGTTTCTCAGCCATTTCCAAAAGTCAAAGGTAGGAGTTCTGGATTCTGCCCTGGGTGCTAATCCAAGAGTTCACAGACCTCCTACCTGGGGTCTCTGACTATCCAGTTCAGCTGTTCCACTGGGTTACCTCCAACCTGTCCCTGTCTCAGTCCTTTCTGAGATGGGGACACAGATTATTTTTCTGGGGGTAGAGGTCTTTTCTTTGCTAATCCATACCCTTTTCTTTGACATTTTTCCCAGTTCTGATTCAAATTTCCCCTCCAAACCCTCAGCCAATTGCTCTCAGTTCACTTCCCTGGACCTTCAGCAGGTGAAATAAAAAAAGAGATAGATACAAAAGACATATCAGTGACCTCTCCAACTTGAGAAAAGAGTAAAGTTTCTTAGTTCTGCCCACATAACCATGAGATAGTCTTTCAAAAGGAGAGTGACAGCAAATGTAAAGGCTGGGATTTGGGCACCTTCTGGAGAACCAAACAGGGAATGAACTGGAGACCAAAAAAACTACAGTAAAACCAGTTTCTAATAAACCCGAAAGGGGAAGGACAGAAAGTCTCCACTGCTTCAGATAAATCAGATGCTTAAAAATCAGATAAGAACCACAAGCACTCCAGGATATCACCTGAACATTTGTCTTTCTTTTAGATACCAGTTGCAGAATTTGTCTCCAGAAAGCCCCTAAAACTGTGTTTGCTAGCTACAAGGCCTCTGATCCACATGGGTCTAGAGCAGCAGTTTGTAAAGGGCAACTCTATACAAGCAGCATGCCTATGGTGTTGAATGCAAATCAACAAGAGCAAGAAAACAGTCTTATCCTGAAACCTACCCCTCGCTCATATTCGCTTGATTGAGTGTACAATTTGACAGTGCAGCTACAGTAACTTCATGGCCGGTTGCTGCCCCTTTAGGCAGATACAGTCTCCGTCCTACCTGTGTGTTCCCACCATCCCATTGGCACTGGCAGTCTTCTGTCCGTTTAGCTCCCTGAACAGTTTCAATAGAGGATCAGACAGCCTTGCACTAAGGCAAGGGTAGAAACATGCCTGTGATGATAGGAAACAGGGGAAGCAGGATTCCCCTTTTGGGAGCACCTTCTTGTTGCATCTGCTTACAAATATGCTATCAAGACCAAACCCTGAGTTCCATTACAGTGCCTGAGTGCTTGGGATATATTTTATGAAACCAATCATGTAGGACTATTTCAGACTATATTTTCTAGAGACTTAAAATGGGGCTTTTAGAACTCTACTACAACGCAAAATGTTTAACTGATTAAACTCCCCCAAGAAGTCCTATGTCCAAACCTTCAGTTCCACTTCCTAAATGGTTACCAAGCTTAGCCTCTCTAGAGGTCAGCACAGTATCAGAAATATTAAAAAAAATAAAATAAAAAAAAAATCTTTGTTTGACTGTTCTGGGTATACAGTGGACTTCACTGAGAAATGCTGGAACAACCTTATTGTTGATAAATTTTCACAGGAAAAAAAAGCTTTTTTTAATGTAATGTGAAAAAGATTGAAGGGATGTTGTCATAATTCTCACTATTTGATATTGTAGAGGAAATGACATTTGTAAAGCATTTGTTTGTAGACACAAACTAATAGTGCTTATACTATCCTGTCTGCCCGACTTAAGTGTCCTTTTCTGTTAAAATACTGGTGCCATTAACACAGGACCTTAAATAAAGTGGAAGGACCTCTCAGGGAGTCAGGTCCTGAAGCCCTTATTCCCCTTTGTTTTGTTCACATTCAGGGATATTTCCCAATGAATTTTTCAAGTTCCAAGAATTTTGTTTGAGCATAATTGCAGTAAGTTATGTAACAAATTCCCCTCTAGCCATGTTAGGAAAAGATTCAGTGAAACTAGAATAGTATCAATGTTTTGGCCCAAAAAGAACAGGTCCAAGTATAGACAAGAAGTCTTCCTGTAGAGCTACAAGGAAAAAAAAAAAAAAAAAAATTAAAAAAAATTTAAGAGTTTAGCTGATTAAACATTTGCGTGACAAACCTGACTTCATGGGGGACTCCAGACCTCCCACCAATGTCAGTGAATTCAGCAGGCAAAGCTGCTAGGCTGGGACCCTCCAGAAGCCAACACTGTGCCCAATTTTTGCTTCAGTATTCATTTGTTCTACAAATGTAATGAAAATGTCTGGAGTTTTACATTTCCCCTGGTACTTCTGAGGAAGATAAAAGGGATTTATAATTTTCCAGCACAGACAGGATTCACAGGATTTTAAGCATGTAAGGCAATTGATGCTGTCCAAAAAATGTTAGAAGTCAGGGAAACACACAAACTACACTCCACCTCTGAGTGCAAGCCACAGGTAGCTGCAGTACTTAGTTCCTAATCAAGAAGTTGCTAACAAATCATAACAGAGGTAGCCAGGACTGCCAAGTTTGAACCTAAATGTCAGGGCTGAGCCATGACACATTGACTCATCGTGTTACCTAAAGTATCATCCTTACAAACAGCTTTAGACTGTCTTTTATGTACATGTGACCAAGTATAACGGAGCAACAGTAGAGCAAATGCAAACAGCACAGTCTTCCATTAAAGCAATCACATATCCAGACACAAAATCCAGGACTCTGAGACCTCATGCGAATCTGAGAGTCCCTGGGGAATTTGGGTTTGATGAGAAATATATATAAGTATTATAATCTGTGACAGATATAATCTAGCTCCAATATTTTCCACTTTATTTAAAAGGAAAGCTACCTACTTTGTTCAGCCCCACAGTCTGGAAGTTACAAAGATAAAAGGACCTCTCAGCATGAGCAAACTGCAAAACATATTTGAAAATAAATTCGTAATGACAATTGGCATTAAAGAATTTATTTTCAAATACATTTTGCAGCCTGTTCATGCTGAGGGGTGCTTTTATCTTTTGAACTGGATGCTGCTAGGCTAAGCAGAGATGAAGAGTTTCCTCTTAACTCTTTCAGTACCACACAAACAGCACAATCCATCAGGATTTTCTTATAAAGTACTTATACCTGCAAGAGACAAACATTGCATTACAGGGACTCAGTTTCCAGTGCCAAGAAAAGCAGATTACCACAGTTCTCCTAGCCAGTCATCTGACACCTACTTTCAAGTCAAAGAATTATTTCTTCTTTAATATAGTCCCTTAATGCTTTTTCTCAACAGAAATCCCAACTGCTGTACTAACAGTGCCTTTCTGGTTAGCCACAAATCACAACAGCTTTACCTACTAAGTAGCAGGCACACTGCATAGGACCAGAATTTCCTGTCTCCCCGGTGGGAGTCAGCACCTTGTGTTACAAATAGCTCCTTTGTTGACAAGGGAAAGGCAAGCCCTGCCTCCAATTCTGGCATCCATTCTGCTTTGTGTGCCTCGATTTTCATTGCAACTCAGTTGCTTTTAAGGTCACAGATAAACCCAGATCGCTGCTGAATGGTGTAGTCCATCCTCCACACCTCTGCCTTCTTACAGTCATTACTATCCTTTCCCTTTGGGCATTCACACAGCTGCACAATGAGCCAGGATGGGAAACAAATCCAGCAGAAATCAACTTTTTTGTTTTGAGTCCTTTTTCAGCAAAATAGTTCCCCTGCCTAGCCAGACAAATGTCACAGAGGCAAAAGTTAGAACGTAGGAACAAGTCGTCAGGCATACTGATGTGCTGGAGAGCTATTCGCAGCATTATGTTGGATTTAAAAAGTAATTGCATAACCACAGATTAAAATACAGGTATAATAGAAGCTTTGATATCAAATTCTAAGAACCTAAAGAAAGTTGGGATGTGGAGGACTATACATTACCTAGGAGTATGAACGACCTAGAGGCTGCACCGCAGTGCAAGCGTGCCCAATATTTCCATTCCTGGCTTCACGCTGTTAAATAGGGAAACTGGATGTAACCAAACAGTGGAGAACAAGAAGGGCCTAGAGAGAGACAGACCCTTCTCAATGTCACTGGAGCTTAGATCAGGCTGTAAAATGTAATCCTGCCTCTGTGAAAACTCCATTTCTCTTCCTCTGTGGGCAGAAGGAGGAGAAAGGGAAATCATCGGAAGACAGGATGTATGTAGTAAAAATTACAAGAGGAAGAAATTCTGAAACATTAATTTTTGCCCAGCTTGCTCTGTCTTGGGTGGGGGGGGAAGTTGGAAGAGGTATTTTGGGTCACTGCACCCAGCCCCCAGTTATCCCCATCAGATCACGTAATCCCTTTTATACACCTATCATGTCTCATCTTAAAAACATTTGTTCTTTTGGTTCACTATTCGCCTCTGAATGCTCTTGCAAAATTGTCCTCCTTTTCCAGTCTAAATGTACATAAAGCTTTTTGTCCCTGTGCCAACACCTAGAACAGCTCTTCAACTGCAGCACTTACCCTCCTGACTTGTTTGAGAGTGGCAAAACAGGTCACCTCCTGCCTTGTATTTGTTAGGTTGAACAAGTCAAACTCTTCTAGTCCCTTCTCAGAAGACACACTCTTCAGCCCCATGATTACTAGGACAATCAGGAACTGAGGGAGCTGGTCAAGGGAGGCTGCACGTCAGCAGCGGGTTATCAGAGTGCTTAGGCAGAAAGGCTCTTCCAGGGAGCCGACGGGGTGCAGGCTGGCAGGAAACCATGCAGGCTGCCCAGCCTCTCCTCCCGG